AACTTTTTTGAATTGTATATTGTTTTCGTATCATTGTATGGTCTTCAGCAAACATCTTGAAAGTGACCAGTCAACAGATCAGAAACAGATGTTAAAACTAATAAAAATAAATGTTTGAATTGGTGTATTGTTCCAAAATCCGAACATCTAAACATCTAAACCCCCAAGGCCTGGTTTTGTCTGCATTTTTGGGAAACGAGATAACTACATACAATAAAATTATCGGTATTATACTATCGACACGAAAAGTTGTCCATGTTTACAAAAATATTGTATATTTTTTCTTCGAATAAACGATTAAATTAACGAATTAAAAAATAATAATAGTAATAAGTTGGAGGGATTTTTAGAGAAAATATGGGACTTTTTGGACCTGCGCGTGGAGGGATTTTTAGAGAAAATATGGGATTTTTTGGACCTGCGAGTGGGATTTTTCCTGTAGTAGGTTGGCAACACTAGACGAGACACATTTTGGTTATAACTAGTCTTTAGGACAGTCTAAGTTTAATAAAGTAAAGACTGTAGCTAAAACCAGAGCTTTGCGCCGCTACAATCTACAGTAGACACACATTTGCGAGAACAAAATCACGATTTCAGGCGGATAAAAATGAGCTAAATTCAATCCCGCTAAATCTTCCAAAATGGTTGCTTTTAATTGAAAAATTTTTCAACAAGACAGTTGTAGACAAGTGATATGCTATGACGGATCGTAGAATTAAATCAATTTTCAACAAATTGATTAGTTGCTCCTGGTAGTATTCTAAAAATAACAGATTATGGAAAACAAGTCGATCTTATTGTTCCTTTTCAAAAGCAAAGAATGGTTCTTTTACGGGAGATAAGTAGGTTCCTAATCAAACTAATCGTACAATGCGTAACAAGTAATTCAAATAACTCAGAAAAAGTTTCAGATGTAGGACAGAATGACCAGTCAAGTAAATAAACTTTATACCAATATACAATATGTATACATATGAACTAATGTCATTAAGTCACCATAGTCATTCAGGTCGACAAACGGGGACATGAGTACAATGCACCGAAACCCCTCAGATTTGATTTAGCCTTAGTGCATTAACCGGCTTGATTGTATTCGGAGCCGCTCCATTATAGAAAGGACGATAGCGACAAAGTTAATGCAATCAGGGACTCTACTGTCACATATTCAGCTCAGCACTGCCACCGTACGACTCACCCCATCGTCATGTCTAATAACATTACTTTTTTATTTGAAGCGTAATATTAAAACAACAATTTTTTCAAATTCGAACCAACTGAACTTAAATGATCAGATTTCTCGAAGTGTCTAACACTATTTTCCTTTGTAATAGTTAAACAGCAAAATTAGAATCAAACCCAAAATGGGAACTAAAAATCGTTTTCTTTAGAACTGGCAAAACCACCGTTTCGCCTTTCTACACAAGGTTTTTCCAAAGTAGATTGTATCAAAGACGTTGATGTTGCTTGATATAATTAATGTGATTTTTATAGTTTATAAACTTATGTTAAAAGAAAGATCGACAGAGCCCTCCGATTAAAATTGCTGATCATAAAATATAACAGCATATTTCGGAAAGATACTTAATAATAAAGTACTTAAATTTGCAAATATGTATCAATAATTGCAGTGAATTTCTGACATTTACAGGCAACGTGTTCAGTAAAACCATATTAGAAATATATTTTTCATAATTTCCAAGTACTCAAACCTAACAAAAAAAGGGCGCAAAAATAGGAGTATGAATTTTAACCCTTTAGCAGCCTTACACTCATTTTTCTCACATGTTAAGTGATGCAATACCTGGTTAATAATCAAGACTGAGGATTCAATCCAAATATGGAAGACGCACGACCACTTCAGGTCTTCATAATTAATTAAGAGTAATAAAATGAGACTACCTAATCAACTTTACTTTACTCAAATAAACAAAGATTTCTTCTCATAAATAAATAATTCATTTTCTAATTTTTTATTTAACACACATCAGAATCCATTAACGTAAAACAAAAATTTAAGTGGAAAATATTGCATATAGTTTTATTAAACTATGAGACCTAATTCTTTTATGAAACCATTTTTATGCTTTTTGCTAAAGGACACTATATATTTATCTATCCACAACGTTCAAATGAATACAAATAGATATTTTTGAAAAAATTGAAGCACGTTTAACAGATCAGAACCATCTACTTGAACAAAACCGTAACTACTATTAATATAAACATTCATAACTTGTCAAAATATTTTCATTAACCTATTCTTTGCTTACATCTTATAAATATAATGCAATACACATTCTGACGGTTACCTGTATGGAAAAATAATCACGTACTTACATACTTAGTATCAACTACAAATTTAGGTCAAATGTTATTATGATGTGCTGTCAGCTTTAACAGAAATACACATAATTCCAAGCCATCGCCACAAAGAAAGAACATAAACAGAAATCTTCAGTAGAGTCACATTTGCAATTTAAATGTTGCAACTGCTTTTGTTAAGCAATACAAATTCCAGTTAAGTGTGCCCAAGATGATCTTCATTTATTCAGAAATTGAAACCTTTTAACGATTGATTTCTACATTTTCTTATACTTACTTGCGATCAGTTTTACAAATACCCTTTAATTTGATATAACAAATTATGACACAACAAATATAAGGATGTAAAAATTGTTTTAAATATAAATAATACAAAAAACTATAATGTATATTTAACAATTACTGTATGATTTTGAATAGGTGGGTGCAATGTAAGGATGTTACTGATTACCGATTTTAAAACGGTATTAAAAATTTCTAAATTTAATTTCTTTTACTCAGTTATTAAATACTTATTGTTAATTAATCACATGATTTAAAAAGATAAATTTTTATATATTTCATCCACACATCACAATATTTCCAACTCCTTGAAGAGACGAATAAAGACGAAACGTGTGTAATCGTTTTACTTTATATTCCGTGCAATCAACTAATATTACTCAAAATCGATGCAATGTATTCATTTACACCTGCTGATTACCGCATCTTCATATACAGCTTTATTTACCAAATAAAATTACAATGCGATGGATTAATAAACTAGTAATTAAATTTAAAAAAAACTCACCTTGAGCGGCCTTGTAATCGTAACGGTTTCTATAGTTGTAGTAGGAGCCATCATTTCCCTGAAGCAAAACAAGATTCTTTTATTAATCAACAATTTCAATGTGAATCGCCAAGACAATGAACAAAAATGTCATAAAAAAATAACATCGTTAAATTTGTTTATTATTTTACATACTCATCATCTTTTTCTTCCTCTGCCATTTTTGAGGTTTTAATAATCTCATTCAGTCAGTGTACCGAACTAAATAAAACTAAAAAGTTAATATCGCAAAACGCATTGGAGTCCTCGCAATGATAACCGCTATCAGTTTCGAAAAGGCACACCCAGCAAGCGTTGTAGAACTGCAAACACCTTAAATCGTCTGGTTTTACTGCTTATCATGCGCAAATAACGATCTTATCAGCTAACAAATTAATAACATTCTAAATACTTGCCATCCGCATAGTTCTACGTCAGTTCAGTACCCTGTTAACGGAAAGTAAGTTCTGATTTTCGTAAGACTAAGGCCAAGACTGTCTTTAAACTAGCAAGACTAATTGTAAGACCAAGATCAAACGAGCTACACCAAGACTAAAACCAAGACTGAATCAAGGACAAATACGCGAGAATAAACGAAAAATTATTATTTACTTCTGGTGGATTTATGAGTTACAGATTAAACTATTGGAAGCAAATTTAATATATTCTTTCTTTGAAACAAAAGATGGTAAAGGTCTAGATGATGGTCCCCACCCCCGAAGGGTGGATCGAAAGAGGGTGGTCACCTGAGTAAAACCATACAAAAAATTTGCGGCGGTCTCGCCCCCATAAAGTTATGGGGTTTGAAAGTTGATTATTTTGACAATTTTCATACACTATAATTCAAATAAAATTCAATAAAAAAAATATTTTCAAGCGGGTGGAGGTGGGGGATCGAAAGAGGGTGGTCACTTGAACAAAACCCGATAACCTAACCTAACCTACCCTATTGATAAAGATATTTAAATAATGTTTTATATAACTTTCTCAATATTTTTATGTATTTTTCATTAGTTTTACCTTTGAATATTGTTTAAGAATGACTATATAAATATTTACATGCCTAGAAATGTATAAAAATTGGCATATTTATTAATTTTGAACCTCTATAACTTTTTATGGGGGTGAGACCGCCACGAACTTTTTATGGTATAGTGGTGGGGGAGATCTCCTCTTTCGACCCCCCAACCCCCTTTGGGGTTAGGGGCCATCATCTAGACCTTTACCCAAAACACTTTTAGTAATTGAAACTTTTAGGTTGCATTACTAAGTTTTAACAGTAATATAACAAAAACAAACTTTACCACTGTTTGAAAAAAGAGATCTACAAGAATGTGCTCAGAGTAAGTGTTCTTTGTTTCTATGTCTGAATAACACACAGTTGAAATATACAGACAGTAATTTTTTTTTGATATTTCTACTTCTTTCAAGTACCTTGTACTATTTTTTTCACTAATAGGTCAATTTATGCGTTGAAGGAAGGGTAAAATCTCAAGTTTTCATAACTCTCACAACTTTTTCTTTAAAATTCAGTCAGATTAAATGAGCAAGACCAAAACCGAGACTATTTCAGTCAGGCCCATGACCAAGACTAGAAGTATTTGGACAAGACGAAGCCTAAGACCGAATAAGCCAGATCAAGATCAAGGTGTTGGTGCTGCTTTGCTCATTACTAAAGGTAACTAAGAAATTCTTAATTTGATCGATGGCTATATCGATTTTTTTCACTTTTAAATTATCACACCACCTTTGAAAATATCTGTCAGGCTGAAGTTGTTTTCGCGGATGGTGTTTTAAAAGTAATTCAAAATTTTAAAGTATGAGTTCTCAAAAACTATGCACGCAAATTGCTCACAAATGTCTTGGTATTTCTAGAAGTTTCTCTCTATCGGCCAAGTCGAGTTACAACGAAGTATATGGGACATTAACACCAACCCGTTCGGGAACAAACAAGTACACGTTTCAGAACAATGGAAACGAGCATGCCATTCCTGCCGAGAAAAAGACATTTCTTTACCGATTTCCGGAAGAATCGGTCAACAGGCCGCATAGGGGAGAACGAGAGCAAGAACTCAATGTATCAAGCCCGCCATGCACAGGGGTGAATCAGCAACTAACAAATGCGATGGACTTAATGAACAAGAGCTCTTCACAAAAAGTTTACGAGAAAATACCATTTCCTTTGACCAACTATTTCGTAGATTCTAAATCGAGTGATAATCAAGTACGCGACAATTATAGTAAAGAAGCTTCCGTAAGCTTACTTCCGCGTAAAAAATCGGCCCGTGAAACTGAATCCAACGTGGACGTTAATAATGTCAAAGAGAAAACAACGAACCAACACGTTAGCGTAAGAGATTTCTCTACAGTGTCTAGAGAAAAAAAACAACATCAGAAAATGGAAAATACATCCACAAAGAGTCACCGCCCTGTTAGTGTTTCGCTATTCAGATCGCCAACAAATACCAGTAGAAGACAGTATGGAACAGATTCAATCCTGAAAATGAACTTAAAAAGGGCATCACTCCGACCCAACCAAAACACTAGTAAAATAAATAATGTGAGGGAAAATCATCATGAAGACAAAAAAATGGAACTGCCGAATTGGGTAAACGAGTTCTTCAAATCTCTAATGCCAACAATGAATACTGCCAAAACCCTCAGTGAAAATGATAGCATTGCTGAAACAACTGCTAAACCCATGGAAGATGTAAATATCGATCGAACAGTAACTAATTTAGATGATACAAATAATTCTACGGAATTCAATCAGGAAATAGCTAATATAGATAATATTATTAAAGACGTTATAGCCCAAGGGAAAAAATCTCTTGCTGTTGTACTTATTAAGTTTGACAACGACCAAAATGTACCCAAACGGGAAATTGAAAATATAATAAGGACTACACTGGAAACAGAATTAGACCGAATTTTAAGACCGATTTCCGAGAAAGATAAAATACCAGAAGTTGATACGGATAAAATTCCGATATTAGAGAACACCCTAACGAATAGACAGAAATTTGAGAAACTTTACAACGTTGTATATCAAGAAAGTGAAAAAGAAGATCCGCGAAAGACCGACAATGCGTTACAAAACAATGAAAATTTGTTCCACGGAGGTTTCATGAATTCAAAAGTTCTCAATCAAAGAGAATATTGCGTTCATAATAATTTTGAAGAAGGAATGAAGAAATCTAACCGAAATTTTTAATTTAATACACACATACCCAATTACATATAACATAATTTTTATAGTCGTCCTTTACCCTGTCGGACAGCACACAAAACATCAATTATCGAAAACACCACAACCGCCTCCTTTATAAAAACCAAAAATGCATTGTTAACATAACAGTGACAATAAATGCTTCAACTATCTAAAAATCTTAATTTCTCTTAAATGTTATAGTGGTAGAATGTATTTATTTAAGAGTAAAGTAGCAGTTATTGCGCCCTCCAGACTAGCTTAAATTTTCTTTACGATTTTGAAACGCCACAGTAATGTAACGTCTTTATTTCACAAAAAGTAATTTCCGTTTATCTGTGCCGGAAGAGTAACCGAACTGCCCATTTACCTGCAAGTTGTCCCATAAAACTCACCTCTCGTGCGAAGTTCGCGAGCAGCTTCCAGATAAACTTTGCCGTTAAGGTTTTTAAAAATACTCGACGCTATTACCGAAGTTTCGAATTTTACGACAGCTCTGCTTCTAAAGTTTTCCACATCAGCTATGAACGCAAAACAGCCAAGCAAACGTCACGTAACCGAAAGCACTACAATTTAATCATTTATAACGAATATGTGCACGGAAACGACCGACTTTTGGTCCATACTTCTTTCAAATTGTCTTATATTGGATGCAAAGTCCCGAAACAACCACGATTTTTTGTTTTTTTCAATTCTAGGGTTGGACGACTCTTTCAAAATACATATAACGACCAAATTTAATAACCCGTAAATGCACATGACAGAAATAGGCTATATTCTAGCAGTAAAAAGTTTTTTGAACTGATTTTTGTCTTTTTTGTGAAAAGTAATAATGGTAAAACTATAGATCAGGGAATTCAAACAAGAAAAAATTCTATTATGTATGTTAGACTAGGCTAGGATTGGGCAAGGTTATGTAGGTTTCTTTTTTAGCATTCGATTTTATACCTCCATTCCTCTAAAGTTCGAAAAGAACGCTTTGGTCAGATACCAATTGTGCACCCCTTTAGGTTTAGTCGTTTAGCTCATATAAGTTACCTTTCAAGCTTTAATGGTCGCTACGAGATGTCCAATTCTAGAATTGTCCGAAAAATACGTAATTCTATCAGTTTCAAAGGTCCTCAATTCGATTGCATATTTTAATGTTACGCGATTTCGTGACCAGTTGTGGATTTTAATAGTTCCTTCTTCATTAGATAGGCTATATTTCAAGGTTGGTCCATTTAAATTTAAAGAACATATTCCACCTTCAAGAGTGGAAAATGCGCCAATACTGCTTTTCAGTTTCATATTTAATAAATACATCAGTTTTTTAAGTTTCATATTAAAAGTGAAAACCCTTGAAAACCACTGAACGAAAAAATTTTTTTATTGAATCCTGTTTTTTTTATCCTTAAATAGGTAGAAATAAAAATTTTATGTTGTGCATTATTCTTGTAGATATAAAAGTGTATCTCGTTTTAATTTTAAACACCATTAAATGCATACATAATATGACTTTTATGAACTAGTTGAGTTGCAGCTATGAGTCAAAGCAAAAGAAGCACGTATCCTATGGTGACACACAGAAATTAATCATATATAAATGAATGCGAATTACTAACTTCGTAAAGTGAAATAGGTTAACGTTTAAGTTGATTTTGCTTTGATTACTCACAATTACTTCATATTCAAAATTTTAAGGATACAATTACCTACCATACCCAATAGCCACCGATTAAAAATTACCTCCAACATTTCATAATATTAAAAACTGAATTCTAGATAGTATAGATATATTAAACAGTGGTTACTAAATGTTCAAAGGCACTTTCAGAAAAAAATCGTAATAATCAAATTAGTTTTACAAATTTTAATGATTGTTAGCAGAAAAATTTTCATTGTAATTTTACTAAAAAAAAAAAGAAAAGTAAAGCTTAAACAGTTTTAATAGACCTGCTTGTAATTACAGAAATCGTAGTCCAAACGTTTTTACGTACTCTGTCTTTATTATTTAAATAATTTTCAATCCACCAGTTTGAAAACGGTTAAAGAATATCTTTTGTAAGTTGTATATTAGAAGTAGCAACTTTTTTCAAATGGTTTTGATAATGATAACTTTCGAAATTTTAGTTTTGATGAT